ATATGTTCTTGCACAATGAAGTCGGTATTGATTTAATAGCTCGTGAATGGCAGCGTCGCTCGAAAACTTTTCCGCGATGCGTCGCTGGAAATATACATTCGTCAAATGGCTATAATCATTATGGATTTTTCTTCCAAGATAGACGTGCATTCCGGTCAACCATGGGGTAATATGCTATCTTAATGACACTGTAACGACTGAATCACATAATTTATTACTGAGTAGATCAAAAGTTCTGGCAACATTAAATATTAATATAAAAATAAAGAGATACGTTTAATTTAATTTTATTAAATGTTCAAGATAGTTGCTCAGATTATTTATTCAAAGTCTAGTTCCTTCTAAAAATTAATTAAAAGAGTTTTTTAATTCTTCTTCTGAAATATTTTTAACCAGCTTGGAAATCGCATGAACGAATCATAGTTCATTTATTTAATCAGTTAACACTTTAAGGACGATTTCGTTTTCATTCGAAAAGTGATTCTCCTATCAATTTATTTTATTTTGCTCAGAATAGTTGCAGAAAAACCTAATGATAATAAAAAAAAACAAGTGTTTTCATATTTTAAGGCGAATGCTAATTTGCAAGTAAAACATTTGATATTTGACGTAACTTATACTTATTTTGTGCTACAGTAACTGCATCTTCATGTTCCTTTTACAGACGAATGTATTTTATTATCGAGATGATAAATAAATTGTGGTGAAGCTTGTCTAGACTTTTGCAGAAGAAGATCTCCCAAAAAATATCTGCTGAGAACCAGAGCAGAGAAGCCTTGGCACTGAAAGTATATAATTTAGGTATGGTAATTTGTGCTGACCTCACTGATTATAGGAAAAAATGAGTTTAGAATTGATACATTGAGAAAACAGGAAAAAAGGTAAAGTTGGTTTCTTTTAGACGGAGCTATCAAGGATGTAGCAGGATATTCTTTGGTTGAATCGATCAACTCCACGTAAAGAGCGCATCTGAGAAGGATCTTTCCGATAGTAAGAGATGGCAAATAGGACCACCTACTATCGATATGATCTTATAGATCTAACAGTTTAATGTAAATAAAGCATTTTTTTCTCTACTGAATAGTAGGTGGTACATACGTATGGGCCACGTCTTCAAAGGGTTAAACGTTTTTGGTTCAAAATTATCCTTGCGAACAATAGTTGTTATCAAGTCATCCTCACTAATTCAGCTAACATTAGTTGACGTGCAGCCAATCTATCTATAGTAAATTCATATCTGGTGGGTAGTAATAATGTTGCATAATTACAATAAACTACTACGGAATATCGCTAAATTTTCATGTTTTAAATTGATTCTATTTTTTATTCATTTTTCGTTTGACGAGCTACTCAACATGATGTGACTTACCTCATGTTTAGAAAGACATGGATAATTCGTTCTATTATGCTATAGTAGAGAAAAGTCTCAGCTATAATATCATCATAAGTTCAATTTGGATCAGTGTTGATAACCTGTTGTATCGATTCAATATTTACATCTTTAAACTATGAAACAAAACGACCAAATCGATATTCATTGTGGATATCTTCTCTTCTTTCACAAAAACGCTTCACCTACCTTGCAACTATTAAATATGATGGAGTGTTAGGTCTCAATGTTGCTATATGTTCTACATAAATTTTGTTTGCATCTACTCCCAAAAAAATCTAAATTCTAATATGCAGGGTGCCCCAAGAGTCACTGTACCGAAAAAAAATCGAAGATCTTCGTTATGGTGCTAGCAAACGGGCTGATTTTTTACCAATAATAGAGGCATGTTCATACTTTAAATCCATATGGATAAGGTTAGAGAGCCTTTGTTAAGTACTACTATTGATCTCAACAAAAAACTTTTACTTTTTCACAGATAGGAAAAATACAGTATACTATGAAGAAGACCTGTTATATCAAGATTAAATGCAAATAATCTAATGAACTGTTGACTGTCACACACCGTTCATTTGTACGTCTTTTCTCTTATTTTTCTCCTTTTGCTCTACTATACTCTATATGGATAGTTTGCGCGATGCTGCTGACCATATTTGTGTAACATTTGTCTACCTTTGTTTTGAGTTTTCTTGATCTACCTTATTCACTTTTGTTCTTCTTTTGCTATCTTATCTCTGCATATGCAAACACATGAGAATTCAACCAGATTTACACAATGAATCTTTTATAAAAAATGAGAAGCAGTTGCGGACAAGGCAAATCAAGAGAACACAAAACAAAGGTAGACAAATGTTACACAAATATGGCCAGCAGCGTCGTGCAAACTATCCATATAGAGTATAGTAGAGCAAAAGGAGAAAAATAAAGAAAAGACGTACAAATGAACGGTGCGTGACAGTCAACAGTTCATTAGATTATTTGCATTTAATCTTGATATAACGGGTCTTCTTCATATTATACTGTTTTTTTCCTATCTGTGAAAAAGTAAATTTTTTTTGTTGATATTAATGGTAGTACTTAAGGATACCTCCCCCCCCTCTCTTTTTGGACGGTTTCTGGTTCTCGAAGACGGTACGACCGATCACGCTGAAATTTTTACCACAGACAGAGTACAAAAAATAATGAGACACGTTTTCGAGGAAAAAAATTTGAACCGCATTTTTTTAGAGTTTTCTGGAAAGCCTCGGTTTTCCATATGGCTGCATTGTAGTCCATTACGACCTTCCTGAAATTTTATCCGATTGAGCTGAAATTTTTTTCTAAGATATCTAAGACTATTTCTCAGCGGTATAATTAAGATTTTCAAAAAATCTCACTTTCCTTTTTTTTATAAGAGAAGCACTCCAAGATCCCGCGGCAAGATCGGGATTCTAGACTTCGGGACCTATACTTCCGGTTTGGAAAGTCAGAAACGAAAACGCTCGATTATACCTCTGGAGAATACTTCCAAGCATCAATGATGAAAATTTCAGCTCAATCGGATAAAATTTCAGGGGGGTCGTAATGGACTACAATGCAGCTCTATGGAAAATCGACGTTTTTCAGAGAATCCTAAAAAACTGTGGTTCAAATTTTTTTCCTCGAACACGTGTCTCATAATTTCTTGTGCTCTGTCTGTGGTAATAATTTCAGCGTGATCGGTCGTACCGTCTTCGAGAACCAGAAACCGTCCAAAAAGAGAGGAGGGTACCGTAAACAAAAGCTCTCTAACCTTGCTCGTATGGATTTAAAGTATGAACATGCCTCTATCATTGGTAAAAAAAACCACCCCGTTTGCTAGACCCATAACAAAGATATTCGACTTTTTTCTCGGTACAGTGACTTTTGGGTCACCCTGTAGTATTCATTGAATTCATTATGCTTTTAAAAATTCTTTCTTACTTGAAACCGAATTATATCCAAAAGAATATTAAAACTTAACCCAAAATAAACCTATAATATATGTATTATCATGGATACGATATTCTACTATTTATTCATGCAACAAACTCTTTAATGTTAACGGGTAAATTGCCAGCAAAGTTATCAGAACTTTTGGTCAGGCCTAAGTAGTTTAGACCATTTTTCAGATAAGCACAAAAGAGTTATCCTCTTTAGTGTTGGAGTCTTCAAGTATAGCCATGTATCAATGTTACAACAAAGCTTGAGGTTGGAGGCAATTACTTTATAAAACATTTAACTTTAGTCTAAAGTGTCGTATTTATTCTTTGTATGAGGTAACTTGTGGGTCGCCAGGTAGATGAAAACGGTTGCGTGCGGACGTGAGCAGCGCTTGCAATGAAAATCTAAAACAAAATGTTCCAGTAACCTTTGCTGGTATGACCAAAGTGTATGTTTACACTTTATTTTCGTCAGTCAAGTATGTGAAAGTTTATAAAAATTGAAATTCTTACAACCGATAGAATAAAATATAATATTCGTATTTTTTGTAACATGAGAAATATAAGTTGATATTAAAAATGCCTAATAAGCGGTAACACGAGTATATAGAAGAAAGATAAAGAAGAGTTAAAAGTTAGTACCTTTTCTTGTCGAATACCACCAAAACTACATAAAACCTAAAGTAAAAACAATAACAAAACATTCATATCAACATTAATATAATAAACAAAGAGTGGCAATAAAAAACTCGAACTAATTATTTATGCATACTTCAAGTTGAATTCAAAAAAAGTGATGTATGTAAACAGATCGAGAAAAAAGAGAAGTTATATCTAGTTAAAAATGGAATTGACTGGACGAGATCACAATCTACTATCATGAAAGTATAATGTTTAATTTAATACTATGTACTACTTTAGAATTACTAATGTGAAAATGTAAATCTCTTGAGCAAAGTGTACGACACACACTTTACTTTTCTGAACAAAAAGAAAAGCAGTGTGTAAATCACAAACAGCAGATGTTTTGTACATTTTGCTTCTCTCTGGTACACCTTCTATTGCAAGTCTTGAGCGTGAGTAATGAAAAGGCTACCATCCACTCACAGCCATCACGAAAACAGCAGTGGGCAGAAATCTGATCGTTACGATTCATGCAAACTTCAGGTGGAAAACGCTTCACTGCGGAAAAATGTAGCCAAATCGTTATAGGCACTAGAATAATATGGATGAACTCCATGGGTGTGGGTGTGGGTGTGGGTGTGGGCAGGTGATGTAGGTGTTCGTCTCATCACTCTTCAGAGTCTTCTTATTCACACTCAAATTCCAATTCAACACTAAAACATTTTCTTCATCGTTTCCAGAAGAATCGACTATATTTTCGTTATTCAGTCTTGGTTTCATTTGCGTATACAGTTTCACTGTTAGCTTTGTACTATCTAACTTGTCTACTCATAGTTTCAACAACATTTACACTGTGAATTGTTATAGCACTGACTGGAAGTGTATTGGTGAAATTATTACAGCTGTTGCCAATGACTAATGACAGCAAAGCACATCTATTGAATTTAGGCTCGCGAGTAGCATTCCCAAGTAAAATCTCAACATCATGCTGTATGGATTTATTAGTTTATATCGTACAGTTACTGTTAGATAAGTTTGAAAAGATCCTATTCTTCGTTAAGAACATAAAACGTAGTAGTCATCATCTGCAGTTTTTCTTGAAACAACTCTAAACGTCCATGCCTAGTATCATTGAACGGAGCAAAACATCCAGCCACTATTCCACCAGCCTGTTCAATCAGTTGTGCAGCAGCCAGAATTGACCATCCTGCTGCTATACAATCATCGATTAAAGCTACATATTTTCCATCGATTGACTGTTTTATTGTTTCATCATAAGCTATTTCCAAGCGTTCAGATTTTGAATAGACCATTGAATAATCCTTCTGTAGCGTAGGTCCGGGCAGTCCGTTGGCCTTTTGTATGCAGATTAGAGGTAACTGTAGGAGAGCTGCGACAGTAGGTTCATACAAATGTCCTCGACTAGCATTACTTGCCAAACACTCAATCGACGATGAATTGTTCTCAATTACCGTTTTCAGTCTATTAATTATATGTAGATAAAGTGGTGGATTGAGGAGAACATCGGCAGTACGATAATATTGTAGTATACCACGATGCGAAAAGCAAGGGATATTGTGACGAATAAATGCACGATTGTTATAGTTCATTGTTGTCGCTTCACTCTTGAGTGGATTACCATTTGTTTCTTGTTGTCTTAACTTGTTTTCCTCTGACATCGAAGTTTTAATGTCATCATCATTGTTATCTTGGCCGTTTTTCATCATTTTATCACCGAGTGTCTGTTATCTAGAGCGATATGCAGTTAATCAATATAGAGGAAGAAAATAAATAAACATTTAAACGTCTCATTAATTTAGTTTTTTCAGACAATGTACAGTAGATTAGCTGGTCTAAATAGGAACACTTTTTCGCTTCCTGTTCTAATAAAGTACAATGTACTTATTTAGAACATTCGAGGTGTTAAAAGATCTATTCATATCTCAGTTATTCAATATGATATAGAGCTCAACCTGGAGATGAATATTGCTCATTGAGTAAGGAACATTTTTGTGAAACACGATCTGAAAGGAGTGTTGAAGTGTTTAGGGGTAGAAATTTTCACCCTCCCCCCAGACCATGACAGACACTCACGTGACCCATCACAGATCGTGGCAGACCTTTTGATACATGATTTACGATTACATATCACTAGAATCTCATAGGAATATATCAGCTGCTTCCTTGTTGTAGTTCTAGAGAATTCACTAAGAAATGATGAATAAATTGATCCCACGGTATATCGAAGAAGACCATATTCGTGTGACTAATAACAACAGCTACAGCATGTTTCACATTTTTAATCCCGCAAGGGATTGCGCTAACAGCTTTTCGTTCCAAGAAAAATTAAAAATTTTGAAGTTGAGGCTATGAAATCCAATGATTTTTAAAAATTTGACATTTTTTGCTTGTTCTTTGCTTGATGTTCTAATTAGAGACACTTTTTTGCTTGCTGTTCTAATTAGAAAAAGTGCTCTTATCTAGAACAGATGCACTGCTCGTTAAACTACCGGTAATAATTCATCTATTTTTAAAGATAAATTGATGATTTTTACATCACTCGATGCAGCAAACAATGTAGATCTCAATTATTGATAAAAATCTAAAAAATGTTACGCAAGCCCTATCTTATGGAGCTGTTTTTTACAGCTGTTAGAAAAACTGCTCTAATTAGAAACATTGACTCTATCGATTGCATATGATCAGTACCTTCAATCACACTTTCTTGAAATTACTTTCTGGTTATTGAAATGCTTTATATCTATGTCCTGTCATGTTTTGTTGTTAGTAGTTACTGTTTACTTTCAACTTTAATTTTACCGCTAATCTAATTTTGCTGAAAATTCAACGTATTTACCTATGAAGTGATACTAAAGTGTGCGAGTCTGTTTTGGATGTTTGTATTCAGTTTTGCTTCGTATTTACCGTCGACGAAATTACATAATTTTTTCCCACTTACCTATGCTTACGTAAGTATATGAAGCGTGAAATTTTCATCAGGTAGATAGTTCTTATATCAATATGCTCATCTTCGTGCGTATTTCGTTTTTTCTCTTGCCTCTTCTTTTTTGCTTCCATTCACGTGGTGTATTGTTACTATGAAAAAATATACACTGATACTTACATACGAATGAAAAGCAGGACCATAGTACCACAGGACAAAATTTTGATCAAAATAAATTTAATACAGGAGAACAATAATTATTGCATTTTGCAGAGCTCCCATTGGCTTAAAAAATGGCAAAAAATGATGCAATTTACATCATTTCAATGAATTTTTTCCAGAGAAAAAAAGATTTCGCGAAATGAAAAAAAGCCATTTTTGAATAAAAGTGCAGTTAGCGCCTGATTCGAGTTTTTCTGAGGGCGATTCGCCCATACGTCTGTGCCAATCATAAGATGTTGGTTGCCAGATACAGCTCGATAAGCTCTATCAAATAGCATATTTAGATTTTGTGGAAATTTGTGACAGAAACAAAAATAAAAGCAAAATTATTGTTTTTCACCACAGCGCAAAAAAACACCAAAATAGTTTTTCTTCAAATTATTCGATTCAGACATCGTGCCACTTTTCAAATCTAGATATATCGATGCAGCTCGACTTGTTCCATCAAACGATGTCTGTGACATTATCATCAATCAAAACAATCCGACTTTGGGATTTCGAAACCCCTCGAAAAAGGACTCTAGCAAGATTTTCATAGACCGATTCGTTCTTGAAACTGTGCCACGTGCGGAAACTTCCTCATTCAGTTCAACTCGATTCGTTCTATCCATCGATATATATATTTCACGCACTAAGAACAAACTGTATACTACAAGTTTTCCAGAACCTTCCGTGCGAGGTTCCCCGCAATCTATCCACGTAAAACTAATAGCCAAAGATGTTCTATGAACAAATATCACACCAATACCTGCATCTTAATTAGTTCTATCCACAAATACATACTGTACTGCTGACACTGCTACTCTACCGCTCTTACAAACCCTGAAGCTGACTAAGTATAATACAAGAAATTCATATTTCCTTTTTATATTCACTTTGAAACTTGTGTCAACAATAGCATACACATTCATTAATAGACATCGTTAATTTCTATCAATTAATGCACGATTTCTTCGAAATAATTCCATTCTACAACCAACGATCTCTGTGCAAGCGCTCCAGAAATGATAAGAGCAAATATTATCAAGATCGATTCGATTGGCGATCAGTGCCAACCCAAACACATGCATCAAAAGATCGATCTCGATAAGACGAATAGAATAAAATGCATGTCAATTGACTGCGTTTTGTGAGTTCTATCCCTTGGTATACTGTTTATTACGAATCAGCGTTTTATTTGCGGGATGGTGTCTTTCAAATAGATCTGGCAGAACCTTGGGTAGTTTTAAGCTTTCCCGATTCGCTCCACAGCTTGTGCCAATACTGAAATGCATGTCAGTGGACTCCTCTTTGCGAGTTCTATGGATTGGTATACTCTTTGCTATGAATCAAGGTTTTATTTTGATGATTGGGTCTTTAAGATAGATGTTGGGAAAACCTGGTGTAGTTTTGTGCTTATCCCATTCACTCCACAGGCTGTGCCAATGCTGAAATGGACGTCAATCGACTGCGCTTTGTGAGTTCTTTTCGTCGGTGTACTCTTTGTTGTGAATCAATACTCTTTTTCCACGAGAGACCCTTTAAAATACATCTCGGAAGAATCTGGCGTTGTTTCGACGTTTCTCGATTTGCTTCAAAGCTTGTGCCAGTGCCGAAATGCATATCGGTCAAATCCTTTTTGTGAATTCTGTTCATTGTTATAGGCTTTGGTAAGAATCAATGTTTTTTTTTGCGCGACAGGGTTTTTCAAAGAGATGTTTGAAGAATCTCGCCTAGTTTTTTTCCCCGATTCAGTTCATATCTAGTGCCAATGTTGAAACGCATGTTAATCGATGTCTCTCTGTCTGTGCTCTTCACAGTATGTTTTTTGGTATGGATGGATGTAGGTTATAGAAGATAGGAAAGGGGTCGGAGCTTCTTTTAGAATTGGGCTTTTTTTCATGCATGATTCAACTGTGAATTTTGACCGCCGATCGGATATAAATCGATTGACTTGTCTTTGTTAGTTGTGTCGAAGTGTGTATGGCTACAGATCAATAATGTCAATTTATGAACGCACGGTTTCGAAAAGGATTCACGACGTACGTAGCATTTCTTTTGCTATACATAGTTGGAACAGACAGTGTGCCAGTAGTATGACTGACGCTAATTGTATCGGTTTGTTGTGGTGTTCTCATCTGTGTTTGATTTCATGTGAACCTCTGGACCTTTGAAAAGTGATATCGGGAAAGCGATTTGTAGTAGTAATCTTGGTATGTTTGTTGTCTGAACCACTGGCAAGGTGGCGCCCGTGGTTGAATACATTTTAGTTGAGTTGTTTATGGTCTTTGTAGGCAACGATGTGCCCTTACATAGCAATACCTTCACGTTATAAAAGATAGAATGTGGAATACGGGTTCTGGAACAACCTGTCATTGTTTCTTTGGTCTGGATTAATTCGAGAACCTCTGCCAATGTTCCTTGAATCTCACACTATTCATGTAGGTCAGTCCTACCAATCGCTATACAGTTTAACATGAATCGCTCCGGTTTAGGGAAGACTTTTCCCCAAAGTGGCTTTTGGAAAGAACATTTTTCGGCGTCCTTGTCGTTTTATTGGAAACTTGTACGAATCATGAGCTGTTTCCAAAACGATTTCGGTGTTTTGGGTTTCATGGATTGATATAGAGGTTGTCCGCAACAGGTTAACCTGGTGAATGACATGCTATATTAAATTCGCTCGAACTAGGATAAGTTGATTTTCTTTTCGATATCATTAGATGAATATGCTGATGCTTGAGTTTTGTGTAATGTTTCCTGGTAGCTTTTTCCCTGAAAGTTAAACTACTTGATGAAAAGGAGAGTACTTTTCCAGATTTGCGACATTCCAGTGCATTCCGGAAGAGACCAAATTCATTCGCACCTCATTGCCGCCCAAAATACTCAATACTCGTTTATAATTTCTGTGATACACGCGACAGCTGAATGTTATCGACGTTTACCTACTATTAAGAAGCTTCTGCAATGTTTCTTAGAGGCATGAAAGAACCCCTTGTACCAATATACAAGTAGAAGGCGCTGAAAACGTTTACATAACCATACAGTCATAATTTATGATTTCGAAAAGACCCGTAATTGCTTCTTCTCTTAAAAGGCCAATTTTAAAAGCCTATCAGGGCCACAAATGTGTTGATTAATAATAAAGAGTCTACCAATGAAAAGAACTCACCAAGCGCAGTCGATTGACGCCCATTTCTGCATTGACACAAGCTGTGGGGCGGTTCGGAAAACCTCAAAACTACGCCAGGTTCTTCAAAGATCTATTTTACGGACGCTGCCA